TGTACTCCTCTTGGCTCGCACTCCTGTGCTTTAGTTTAGGAAAACGGAGAAAGGCAGCACTGCAAAGGCCAGTAGTCATAATTCAACATTCAGCTGATCTTCAAGTCGGCTGACCAGAGGCTAGGTTGTTGTTAGTAGCTGCCAGGTGTGACTGTACGTATCAGAAAAATTCACAACAAATTGAGAGGGGAAGAGGTGTGAGGTAATCAACCTTGGGACTCCTGATGCTCCACTTCAGTTTAGTAGGAGTTGCTTAAGCATTCCATTTATTCTGTTGGGTTCTTTGAAATGGGATGAAAAGGTAATCATGGAAACTTGTGCACAAAATCTACTAAAACTTGTAAGTGAGTTTGCAGCCATTGAGGGATATAGTTGGCTCTTTATCTTTGCCCACACACAGTGTGGCTAATATACAATTAGCAACTGTGGAAACCTCAGTGTTTCAGCTGTGTGTTGTGCTAACAGAGTACCACGCTTATGTTGTGTACATTATGACTCCTAACCTATGTCTGTGTAAACAGAGTTTCCCAGTCTATCCCCATTGCTCTAACATCCCAGGGTTTCTTAACCCTGGTGATACCCATGTTGCTGTACGTGCATGACACACTGTCCCTTTCTGAGGCAGAACAGAATAGCTGCCGAAACCATGCCAGAACGCTCCAGCAGTTCAGCAGCATGATGGTAGGTGTTGACATGCAGACACAGTTGACAAATGTCTGTAATGTGAAAAAGTTGCTATCTTTGTGCTAACCAAGTTGATGGCCCTCCCATGACCTGGTTATAAAAGCACAGCAGTATTTACAGCATGAAAGGGGTTTAAATGTGTGTGTTGCCTCTTTAGGAGGCTTCTAGCACACGTGTTAGTTTAATTTATTACAACATAATGAGCAAAAAATGCTTGTTAGCACATGCCTGTAGAGTATTATAAACACACATTTGGTTACCATTTAACTTCAAATAGTTGACCAGTGTGAATTATTTGTCTGAAATCCAAATTGTTATGTAATCATCTGTTAAAAGAGAAAGGTGAGTACATTAGGTTGGTCTCCATACAAAAAGGAAATCTCATTGACCATGGAAGTATTCAGTAGTATAAATTTTAGTTGGGAAAGGCCACCAATTGCTAACCAGGTTAGTGTTTGGGCCAGTTCAGAATAGTTTCACATAGGAAAAAAGTCCGTCACTCTGCGTGGATTTGATAAAACTGACTGGGAATGGAATTGCCTTCACCATACCTACAGTGCAAGCAGCACTGACTTGGTCTGTACCAGAATGATTAAGGCACATTGTGCCAAACTTGCCAACTCCAAAAAGATTTGCAACCAAGGTGATGTTATTGTTTTACCATTGTGGCCCGGACTAATCCACAGAAGGAAGCCCTACAAGTTCCAGGCTTGTGTTCCGAAGTACAAAAGTACTCCCTAAGCAGTACTAAATAACCTATTTGTGTTTCAACCTGAAAGAAGCTGGGGCTTCTCTCACATATTATCTTCTCGCATGTTCTTGCATAGATATGCATGCATCCCCTTTCCTTTCCACACTTTGTGATAGCCTCTCAGTCATGCTCATGCACTGTGGGAGTGGAGTGGATTTCCTAGGCTGGAAATCTCTTCTGGCTAACTAAATGTTTCCTTCTGTTGCTGAACCAGTAGGATTTTTTGATACTGACATTTCATTGTTTTAACTTATTTGTTAGTTTCTGTTCCAGTGTTTGGAATAATATTTAAAAAAAAAGATTTTCCATAGCTCCATAAAATACTTTTTTGAACGTGACCAATCAGTAATAAACCTAAGAAAGTAGGCCTGGAAGAAACCTCCTGTCAGTTGAGTCCAGTTCTTTTTCATTCACAGGCAACTATTTACCCAGGGAATTCCCAGAATCCTTCACAGCCTCATGTGCCACAACAAGAACACTGCATGGGAGCTGGTTCAAACTGGCTGTTGTGCAGAGGGTAGGGGACAGGGAGAGCCCAACAAATAGTTGTTTGTTTAGCTCCGAGCCTCCAGACTGCACCAGTGCTTTGAGCCAGCTCCGATGCAATCCTAGGACTGAGACTGAAAATCAGCTGATTTTTGGTCTCAGCCCTGGGGTCTCACTGGAGCCAGTTCCAGACTCTAGTGGGGTACTAAGAACTATGATGGTAGTAAGTATTTCATGTGCGACTGCTCAGAAAACTTTCCAAACCATAGTAATGCTTACTATGATCTACATATAACTTATGTGAAGTGTAATGTGTAACAATACACTAAGAAGTCATATTGGAAGCAGATGCTAAAATATACATAGGACTCCTGCATGGTTTGAGCAGGCTCCTTTGCTCAAGAGGTAGAGATGCCCCTGCTGAAATAGATAAAGCAAGGAGAGGTGTATGCTGATATTTGCAAAACTCTTCCAATGTTACAACCTATAGGCTGAAATATATACATTTTCTGTAGTTTCATAGCTATCTGTCAGTACTCATAAAGGGAAGGGATAGATCTCTTGGGTCTTCCTTGAATCTCTTGAGCATATTCTAACAAGTTCTTGTCCTTGTAGTCATGGGTAGATCTGGAATTTTGAAAAGGGGTGTGCAGGTGGTGAGGTACATCATCACATATAAAGACAACATATATTTTTCTCCGCTTAAAAATAAGCTAGAAGCTTTACCAATGTGCTGGGGGCCTAGGGTGGTATTATTCAGTTTGACTGAGGTCAAAACAAATATAACTTCATTGGAATGAGTTTAAAAAATTTGCAGGGCTGTGAAATAGGAGCTTCATTCCCAGGAGCAGCTAACAGACTGCAGCATTGCAGAACAGAGACTAGCTTGAGTGGTGGAACATCAAGACCATTAAAAAGAAGAGATGGTCATTAACACCTGTGGAATGAAGAGTTTAGAAGGCATCAGGTAAATTAAAATGAGCCATAAAGTCAGTTGACTCCCTCAGCACTGCCTGACTAGAGATGCTGCTGCCACTGCCAGGTGGTTGGTTTTAAACTTTGGGTGGAGCAAGAATCAAGGGGAGTGCAAGCGCCCCAGTGCGTTCCTCCCTCCCCACCCTCCCTTTGGAACCATCCCTGCTTGTAGTGGCAGGACACTGACAGTGTCGTATTTTCTTTGTGCCAAATTAATATGTTCTTGGCATTTTTGGCCAGTGTGCCTGCTAGTTATATAAATTAGACAAGTGAGGGCCAGCCATTCTGGCAGGCATGTCACAAATTAGCCCCATACCCTTTGCACATGCCACTGCCATCCTCTTCCCATCAACTGCTTTGCCTTTTGTTCCCTGCTGTGTGCCCCTACCCAATCTGCTGCTCTGCTTGTTGCTCCCTGCTCTGCGCTACCTGCCTGGTCTGTTTTTTGTTTCCTGCCCTATCTGCTGCTGTATTGCCTCCTCCACACTGCATGCTACACACACAGGTTGCCCATGCCACTTGTGGCATGTGCTACAGGTTAGCCACCCCTGGATTTGACAAACACTTTTTTTAGATGGGAATAGTTTAGATAGGGATGAGCCTACCTTAAGCAAGATGATGACCTCTGGATGTCCCTTCCAGCCCTAGTTTTCTATGACTTTGTGACACTTCTATAAAGGGAATAGGTCTTCTGAATCTAAACAAGAGCTTTATACTTTTCACTTGCAATGAGCACAATATACAGAACATAATAATATCCTTGCCACCGCAAAGGTAAACTTCCAACCAATGAACCTTAGCCACACTCTTATATCTAGTTCATCTGTAACAAAAATAAAGTTTTTAGACATTAGCAGTTATTCCTTTCTTCTGACTCATGGCATGTTAAATGACAGTTTTGAACCTTGTCATTCCTATCTTTCTTGAAGCTTTGGCTCATTTTTAAATGTATACCTTGCATATATTTTCTCATGGAAAGAATCTTTCATTAGCCTTTACCGTCAAAATGTTCAAGTTTAAATTTAAACTTTCCTGTAAATGCTTCATTAAAAGACTTCCATCCACTCCCAAAAGGAGCATGGTCATGGAATGATACATAACAAAAATCACCAAAAATGTAAAGAGACATGCCAGAAAGCACAGGTGGTAAAAGTCTATAATATACTGAAGCTGATGTCTTGGGAGGTACCACATCTTGAAAACACAGGAAGTAGAAGCTCTGTAGATGCACAAAGTTTAAGGATCAGTTGGCTTGGAAAACAAAGATAAAAGAGAAGATTTATCAACATTACTTTTTCTATTTCATATTTCCACCTTAAAGAGGCCAACGCATCTCTTCGCTGTTAAGCAGTCGTTTATACATGCTGACACCAAAAAATGTGAAGAAATTCCTTTTGCATATAAGAATGCCTTGGTTTCCTTTCCTGTGAGCTGTGAATAAGAGCTTCTGTAAATAATGCTGTTCAGAGCTTTCAGCATTACCCAACTTCATGAAAACCACCAAAATGAATGAAGAATAACCTGGCCAGTCACACAGGGCCAGCTGGAAGATGCTGATTAAAGCCAAGGTGTCAGCAAGTGCACTGATTAATGGGTTTACTCTGTGCAAAGTGGGAAGAAAGACGGCAGTTTATTTTTGTTTGTAAATGCACCATATCCCATCAGCTGACTCTTTGTTATTAGGTATGGAAAGAGCTAAACTAGACTGCCAGTGTACAACAGCACAAAAAATATATATATTTTTTAATTTAACAAAAATGGGCATATGGGTAGCAAATGAGTCATTTAGTGCAGTAACAATCTAGATTCAAGTGAAGTCAAAGACTTCTTGTCTTAATTCTGCGTGTACAGATGCATATTCAAGTTGCAATGTAGCAGTGCAGTGTAGCTCTTTGACCCTTCTAAGAGGCTGGATAATAAGATGCATTCTCCACATGCTCATGTCCAGGTATGGCTCACCATGGACTAGGTTGAGCCAAATGCCAAAGACTTAGTTGTGTTCATAGAATTTTTTCCTTCAAAACCATAGCAACCACCACAAAACAAATATTGGAAATAAAATTGAAATACGTTTCTTCTAATAAATACCTCACTTCTTCCTCAGAGCTCAGCCAAAAGCCATTTAAGAGGAAAAGGTCAATTATAAACTGGGCCTTTTGGCGTGGTCCAGGCACTCAGATGGACAATACACCAGTGTCTCCAACATCCCTGATTCCTGGGAAACTCTTCGGCCTCTCCTTGTCAGCCATATGTGAGAATGACAACCTGCCCAAACCTGTCTTGGTGAGTTATGAGGCTGCTTTTGTTACCTTTGCCTGGCAAGTGAGAATACAGGGGAGCAATGTCGCCATACTGCTCAAATGTCCTGACCAGAGAATTTGGGAGGAAACTCCATCTATAGTTTTAAGCCAACATTTTGGCTGTAAGCACAAACTGAGGTCAGGCTTGGTTAATATGAATAAGATTGTACATTGTATAATTTTTCTAATGTTCTTTTAAAATTGGCCTGTCTTTTCTATGTAACATGTGCTATAGTCCTGATTCCATATCCCTTACTTAGGCAACGCAAGAAGTGCCAGTGGGCACATCTACATGTGCATTAACATGCTTTTACTAATGTATATTAAATTTATTGCCTCCAATATGAGGTCCTAAATAAATGTGCATTAGGTTGTACTAATGCGCAGTAGCTCAAGCGCATACTTTTTAGGTGACACTTACTGCACAATAGCCTATTCTACTGCGTGTTAGCATATTAACATGTTTTTTTACGCACCGCTTTAATGCACAGTAAAATAAGCTACTGCACATTAAAGCGCACGTGTAGGCATGCCCGCTGAGTACTATCCAACTACCTAACATTACATGGTATGGCATAGACTCTTTAAGGGTTTGTCTGCATTAAAGTGCTCTCAGTGCTTCAGTCTCTGGTGTTCCTGAGAGCAGCCATTGGTGGTGTTCTTCCGTGTTTGGAGTGCGTCAGTGAGTGAAGAGGGGTTGGCTGTCCTTTAGCCACTCAGTGCTGGGACTTGCCTGTTACCATAATATGCACAAACCCTAAGTTTAGAAGCCAGATCTTCCACCAAAGTCAGGTAAGGTAAGTCAATTTACCCTAGCTAATGGTTTCCCACAATGTAGCTGGGACACTCTCAGTGCTGTTCAAACGAAGACTTTTCAGAGCCTTCCATGACATCTTTTTTTTAATCTTCTTGCTGCAGCTACTGGTGAATGTGATTGCTCTAAGTCAGTGGTGCTCAACCTTATGGCCCCATGGGCCAGATGAGTGGGGCAAGACTGGGCTGCAGGCTGGATAGAGTCCTGCCCCTGCCCCAAGCGTTGGCAGCGGGCCCTGGGGCTGGGCAGCATCTCCCTTCTCCCCTGCTTGCCAAGATTTACTCCTGGGAGACTGGCACTTCCCCCATCCAGCCTTTCACACCACAGTTGGACCATGGGGCCCCATGCCACCCAAGCCTGGCCTTGTACATTGCAATTGGACACACAATCCAGCTCTCGGGGGTCAGGGCTCCTTGTGGGTTGAAAAGTTTGGCAGTAGGGTAGTAATGCCAGCACTCTCCTGCCACCAAATTTCCAAACCAAGGAGAGCCCTGTGGGTTAGATGACATGGCACCATGGTCCAGATCTAGCCCACAGGCTTGAGGCACTCCTGCTTTGGTTTATTTGTTTTCCCATCCCCCCTCCCCTAAGGGTTAGGCTACACCTAACCTGAAAAATCTGTTCATTTATTACTCCCCTCTAAATATTATGGGTATTTCAAGCCAAATGCAGTTACTGCTGTTTGCTACATATCTGTCTAAAACAGTGGTTCTCAGAATGTTAGCTCTTAGTTCTCACTTGTTTTGTTACTGTGGAAAAATAATCGAGCAATTCTTCTGTTGCAAAGAACTCAGTCTACAACAGGTCAGAGTGTTCTTGATAGTATGGATTCCTGTTTGAAATATCTGGGTTTATATTGTGAATCATGTGTAGATGTTCACACACTTCCTAGTTCTAATATTGAATGGCACCCTGTGGCACACTTAAAAAAGGATCTCGTGGCACCCCAGTGCTGCATCATCCTGGCTAAGAATCATTGGTTTAAAACACAAAACTTTTAAAAGCTTTTATTTGGAAGAATAAAATGAATAGGTTCACAGTTGCAACTTGGTAGAATGTTGTGGTCTTAAATAGATATACTGTTTAAACCCCAAAATGTAACTTCCTTTAATTGCCTTCAGTGCTTCTTCAGAATGAACATGACACCTAGGAGTATGGTATAGGATTTACCTATATGGCAAGGTGAATTGGAAGGTGTAAAGCCCAAAAGTAGGTTTGATGGTCTCTGCTTTAAAGCCCTATAACCTGCACCTTTAATAAATGGGTCTTGCTTTAACTTCTATCATACAAAACCATCTCAAGCCATTAACCTCCACACATTTAGTTTCTTTTGGCTTAATATTTTAAAAGGAGTTGGCTAGTTGTGTTGATTCTTAGATTGAGATCTTGCATTGTAGCCCAACTATACAGTTGTTCTAAATTATTGCAAAGAAAATGGAAATGCTGGTGTAAACACTGTTCATGTGAATGGCACATCTGTAAAGTATTTTGTACATAAATGAACAGTTGAGAAAGGAATGTGAAAAGTAGATTTTATTAAAAAAAATAATGATAATAAAAAAGAATCTTTCCATTTGGCACATTTGCACTTCTGTTCTTCAGAAAGGTGACTTAGCAGCCCAGACTGAAATGAAACAAGAGCTGTTGCTTACCTAGTCAAGTTACAGAAACTCACTTTAATAATGATACACTCTGTACCAACATCCCATCTCTTGCCATGTACTCAGCGATCCCATTGTTAGTAATGTGGTCTTCAGACCAGGAAGTGCATGCATGCATGCATAATAATTACAAACCCACATACTCCTTTGCACATACTCTACAAAAAACAAATGTGATGGATGTTGGCTGTGTTGCTTGGCCCTCTGCAGCTGTAAAGTGTTCAGGTAGTATTGTGACTAACATGCTATAAAAATTTACAGAGAGTAGAATAATTACAATAGGGTGGAAAATATGACCTATGTGCTGCAGCAGAAAAGATCTCCAACTTTAGATTTCCTTCTCTTGGCCATTTTTCATCTTCCGTCTAGAAGAAGAAATCAGACCTCCTTGATACCTCAGAAAGACTGGAAAATATACTTGATCTCCTATCCCAAAAGTTTTTAACATACTAGATATATAATATGTGGGCAGGAGTTCTAGTTCTACCTGTTTGTTTCTGTGAAGCCTGATTGACTTCAGAGAGGTTGGTGGCTCTATTTAATGGAGAACAGTATTTAGATGGTCTGGTTCTGTGACTCCTTACATTGGGTAGCTCCTTGAAGTTAACGGTCTACTTGCAAAGTAAAGTGCAGCTCATTGGGAATAAGGGTGATGGAATATAAATCTTAATAAGGATTCAGAATTCATATTTGTATGAGCATGAGAAGCACTTTTATTACATTGAAAGAATTGTGTTGTGGTCTTTAGGCTACAAACTGATCAACTAATCCAGAAATCTTAGCCTGTGTATGTATAAATTCAAAAGACTAGGTGAAGAGTGCAAGTTTTACACCTTCCTTGTGAAGCAGGTTCTTGCTATAGTCACAGGATACTACACTACTGGACTGTCGGTCTCTTCCCATACATCGGTGTTGTGTGATATTTGGGCAGTTCTGAAGGTGTGATGCATCAGATCAGTACTTGGCTGTTCTATGTGATATGAATATGGTAGCACAGATCATGTCAGTGCCAGAAGTGTAGCTTTCATAAGAGTTGTGTGCAGCCTTGAGAATATGCCCCATTTGTGCTTTGAATGTTTGTAGGGCTCATATATCTTCAGGTGTGACTCAAAGGAAAATAAAATATCATCTTGCTTGTAAGAGATGGTTAAAGAATCTGTTCCTAACAAGGCTTCTGGCTTTTTACTTTTGTACAGGACATGCTTACCCTTCTTTATCAAGAAGGGCCTTTTACCAGAGGCATTTTCAGACGGTCAGCCAATGCAAAATCTTGCAGAGATCTCAAGGAGAAGCTTAATTCAGGAGCTGAAGTGCACTTAGCCTGTGAATCCATATTTGTGACTGCATCAGTGTTTAAGGTATGCAAAAAGCTTTCCTCTTCTCTCTGGATGGAAGAACCAGCCTCTCTTCTGACAATGATCCAATTGGTTTTCTCTAAAGGCAGTTAATTTGTTTCTCTAAATGAGCCCTAACATTCAATCTTATCTCGAACATGTGAACTCTCAGACTGTGCAGGGCAGCCTTGCAAGGTCAAATCTTTATTCAATTAAGTTGATGAAAGCTCTAAACCACTGTGAAGTATATTATGTTGCCCAAAATATTGGGTTTATTTTCCAGTGGATGGTTGTACAAAAAATAGTGCTTTAAGAACAATATTGTTTTGTGTAAAGAACATCCCCAGTCCATAGCTGTGCACCCCCTGTGGAAAGGACTGGCACACTTTCCCTATTTTATTACCATACAGCTGTTTATGTGAAAGTGTTAGTTCAGTGATACTGTAATCTCCATATTGAAGCACTGCTTGGATGTGTGTAATAGAATTTTCTTAACATAAAATGCTGTCCCCTTATTCTGCTATCCCTGATGCCAATGAGTGAGGCTGCAATTTTGGTTGGGGAATTTTTAGTAAATTTCAAAGCAGGATCCAATGTAGTCTCCCATCTGACCGGTGTTACAGGGGACATCATGTGAGAGTCAAATGGCTATGTGCATGTTTTAGGAGATGAAGGAGAATAAAGATATGATATAAAAAGTCTACCAACTTAATTGTGGTTTTTCTCCCACTTGTAAGATTCTGGGGATTTCAGGAATAAAAGATTGCTTCAAGCTCACTGTCTCAGCAACTGCCATCACAGAATTTTAGTCTTTCCTACGGGTCACTGCCTTTTCGTGCTTCAGTTGTCTGCCCTCATCCCTGGAGGACTTTAGAAAAAATGCTGCTGCTGATGCACCTATTGCAAATGAATCAAAATTCTTCTTAGCAAAAGGGATTTTGAGCAATCTAAGGAATGGATGGGTCATTGCTCTGTGGATCAGTACAGATTTGGATTCCTCCTCACGCTGGATTGCTGATAGTTAATGTATATCCACACTGTTGGGTCACATGCGCTTTAAGAACAATCACATATGCTTCTCTGTTATAAAATGGTGGTTGCCAGATTCTGGGGCAGGAAATGACGACTTCAGAGTGAATTGGTAGGCAGAAAATAGGACCTGACTGGGGATTATGGTCTATATGCTATTAGTCTTGAGTGAAGCTGGTAAAATAAATCCCAACATTTTTACACACAAATATCTGCCTTTATGATTCCTCCCAGTGTGTTTGATCCTCATTCGATTTTGCTTTTTCACCTGGGTTGGGGAAAACTTCCTCTCTAAAACACACACTATTTTTATTTAGAATATGAAAACCACCATTTTGTTCTATGGGTGAATTTTGACTCCAATGCAGAGGTGTCTGTCCTTAAAACAGTGTCCCAGTGGAGTTAGCACAGTGCATAGGCATTAATATACTTGATCTCTTTTCCTGGGATCAAGTTACCCATTTCTCACTACAGCATAAGTTTTGGGGCTTGTTTCGCTGAAATAACTGTCTGATTGAAATGGGGGCATCTTTTTAATGAAACGAACCCACTAATTTAATTTGATTTAATAAAATCAAAGTTCTTTGCCATTGACTAAATATTTTGTATGAACTTGCAAAGAGCTGAGCACACTAGCTCTGCTTTAGCCAAATACTTCATTACTTGCTTTACTTTTAAGCATGCAAATGATCCTATTGACTTCAGTGGCACTACTCATTACTTACACCTAGGCAGATGTTGAAGTGTTTGCATAGAGATCATAATTCCCCTTTCAGTTGTCACAAAAATAGGTGGAGAAAGGGACATGTCTGATAGCAAAGAAAAGCTTGTTTTTGTTATGTGCATGGAAGATACAGTTCAAAAGTTCACACATAGTTAAATATGACCCTCTGAAGACTGCCAAAGTCAGTGACACTTTTGATGATCTGCTGAGTAAGTGCTGGATGTACTTTAAAGCTCCTACAAGGCAGAGTTTTCCTGCCACTTGAAAGCCTGAGTGTGCTGAATTCCTGTCCCTTGCTCCTGAGGGACTTCTCCCCCCTGCCCCTTGTTTCACTTGGCTTTCATTTGCTTTGGAAATTCCCATCCTGGGTCCTTATATTTGCAGGGTGTCCCCAAGTTGTTTGCTGAATGCCAATTAAACCCTTTCCCATCCCTTGAAGGAGAGATACAATACTCTTGTTCAGGATTTACAGGAAATTTGGAGACCAGCTGCTTGTAAATAAGACCAAGACAGAAGTTAAGGAATTCAGAAGTGAGCACAAAGTCCTATTTTAGAGACTATGCTTTGAAATCTAGGAAAGGCTTTATTTTTTTATCCTTAAAAAAATAAATCTGTTCTGTCATTGTGGGAGTCACAAACTTAAACCCAAAATGTACAAGATGATGAATACTAGGTTTTATGGGCCTGATTCTGTACTATTGAAACAATGGAATTGTTACCAATGATTTTGGTGACTTAGAATCAAGACTACAAAAATGATTGCAACATTTAGGGCTTATCTACACCAAGAGCTTCTATTACTTTACTGTACCCTTTAACTACAGGGATTCACCCTTCCCTCCTGTTGGTAGTTACAGCTATATAAATATGCCTTATACCAGTATAGGTAATTACCATCCAGGAAGAAGGGCTTGGGAATGTATGTTCACACAAAGGCTTTAGTTAACTACTCTAATAAAATAATTTAACATCCAGTGGACATAGTTGTACTGGTAACTCTGTTAGACCTCACTTTGTTGTGAAGTGTAGAATAGCTGTACTTTGTAGGTGCTTCTTAGGTCCTGGAGTACAGCAGGGTTGTGCTCCTTATGTAGTTTCGTGCCAAGTTCTGAAAACAGTTTGCTGGTGCAGAGGGGGAGGTAAGGTGAAGTCAAATGGTTAGTACACTGAACCTGTTGCAGTTCAAAATAATAGGCCTCTAAGCAAATTCTTTCCTTCTGTGCAAACAGACAAAGCATTGATAATTGCCTCCATTTTGTCAGGAAAGAGTCAAGAGAGGGTCTGAAAATATCCATTTGAATTAGAATTCAAGTCTGTTTTAATTGGCAGAGATCTACTGTTTGGCTTAGCTGCTACATAGGGTGCATTACAAGCCAGGCACTGCTGTCCCAACCATGCATTCTCTCTTACGTGTAGCATTCTGTTCTTCCCTAAACAGCTGCTCATATGTTTTTATCCTTCCTCTCTGTGAATAAGGATTTCCTTCGGAGCATCCCAGGCAGCATTTTTTTATCCCAGCTCTGTGATAAGTGGATTTCTGTGATGGATCAAGGGAATGAGGAAGAGAAGATCAAGGGCGTCCAAAGGTAATTGTTTTATGTCATCTCTCAGGAGACGTCACAAAATATACCCAAAATAGTGGAATGCCAAAAATTAGGTGTACAAGATGCAATAAAGGAAAACATTTAAATAAGTATTTAGGTACATACCTAAAGTAATATTTAAGAGCGTTCCTGGATGGGGTACTTTCCTGAACTGTTGTCTCTAGGATACATCTACTTTGAGAGCCTATGGCAGCAACTGGATTTCAATCATTTATTTTCACAGAAATGTTTCTCACAGAAAAAGCTGTATAAATCTACAGTTCTCAAGGTCTGTATTTCTGCATACCACCACAATAGAATGACTAGGAACTACTTTATTTAGTGGGGAGGAGTAGGTGTTGGGCTCTGGAAGGGAATAGATAGTAACTACCATATTTTTTCATATATGACACATCCTCCCCACCCCCCCAAAATAAAAAAAGTTGAGGTGTGTGTATTAAGCAGGGAAGCTGATTTTTCTGCCTTCCTCTCTTGATACTTGCTACACAGTGCAGCAGCTGTAGCATTGCTATTCAGACAGCTGTGGGAGTCATTTGACTTAATGACTTATTGTACTTTATTCCACAGGTACTGAATGGTCATCTCTCCTTTTTAATGTTCTTGATGTTCCACTAATCAAGCTAACCTTTCTTAGGGCAATTTTGCCATCTGCTAGCTGCTCCTATTTCACAGTCCTAGAGACTCTGTAGCTCTTTTCAAAATCATAGATCTACCCATAGAGAGCTGTCTTTAACAGCACCTAGGATTTCAGCTTTTCTTAAAATGGAAAGGCAGGGTAAGTCAACTGAAGATTAGGCTCTCTGCTCTTTGCAACCATAAGCCTGGAAATGTTGTTTGTTCTTCATTCTGTTTTTCAGAAACAAGGTGCATATTATTTTTTGGGGTATATTGTATGTGATTAAAATAGTGCATTTGATAACTCACATTTTCCCCCCATTCATCTCTAACTTCAGTGACTGTTTTGAAGTAGGGATTCACTTGTGATTGAAATGTTGGAGCCCAGCAAGGTGGGAAGCCCCATTGCTGAGAACATTAAAAATAGGGGTGCATCTACCCTGCCCCAAGGGAACATCCTCAGAGTGTCTTCACTACCTCAGTTCCAGATTTGGAGCATCCAAAAGGGGAGTGGGATTGGGTGGGCAGGGCTTGGTTCTTGACAGCAGTCTTTAGAGCACTACAGAGGCAATGCAGACAGTCCCTTAGACCAAGCAAAATAGTAGCATGTCATGGGGAAGAAATTATTTTATGCAAGCAGAAGAGACCAGGTGATCTCTGAAACAAGGGCCTTGCTGATTCACACACAAAGACAGGGTAATCCAGTGTTAATGAGTGAATTTTGTAGCTAAGTGAAGAGAAATTAGCAAACATTTAAACAAAAAGACACGTAAAATTGAAAATTGTACTTTATCAAATAAAATAACTGAGCATAGGTTTAATTTATTCTTAAAATACTTCAGTGTACATGAGCAGCTGTTGTGATTTTTCCTGTAGAAGATGGAAGCCATTAAATTTGAGTAGGAAACTTCTCCATACCATTTGCCATTTTTCTTCTGAGAAGATACTTCAACTATAAGCCATTTCTTCTTGCATTCCCCCTGCCTCCAATTCTGTAGTTCCATTATATTGTGTCCCTGCATGTGAAGAATGCTCTCTTCCAGCTTTGTTTTTGTCAGGTCACTAATTAATAGAATTACACTTTTGTGTGTGTCTTCTCAGGCTAATGGAGCAGCTTCCCAGAGCGAATGTGGTTCTCCTGCGCTACCTTTTTGGCGTATTGCACAATATAGAAAAGCAATCGGAAGACAACCAGATGACTGCATTTAATCTAGCCGTGTGCATTGCCCCTAGCCTGCTTTGGCCGCCTACTCCCTCTAGCCCTGAAACAGAAAGTGAATTCACAAAAAAGGTGAGAGAAGCCACAATTTTGTTAAGGCAGGGCTGTCCACTTTCAGAACGGCCAGGGCTGCATACTTCATGGACCAACTCCCCAGCCTGCATGTTCACTGGCTCCTCCACTGTGCTGGCAGTGCCCCCGCCCCTGCCCACCAAGTAGTGTGGGCACCACATGGGTGCCTTCCAGGCCTATGCTCTCTGGGCCCCACAGCCACATCCCACCCCACCCGCAGGGAAAAGATGCAACTTGAGGAAGGAGCAGGGTCCTGGAAACCATGGTAACAGCAGCAGCTTCCATAGTGGTAGGTGGAGTGGTGCCTGGGCAGGAGCCTGGGGGCTGCAAAGTAACACTTCATAAACTGCATGAAGCCTGTGGGCCACCAGTTGGACAGTCCTGTGTCAACAAATCTCTGTATTCAACCAGACTGGTTGGTTTGTAACCAATAGGGATCATGCTTAGCACTTTTGCAGGGACTGAGGCTTCTTCTCCAAGTACTCTACAGATATTAATTGATTTGTCCTCACAGTACTCTGGGAGAAAGAAAGGGATGGAGATGATAAACAAATGTCCATTATATGAGCAATGTATCTGAAGAATCATGGAGGTGGGGAGGTGAGCTTTAATTAAGATGGTCCCCAGGCTGCTTTCGCTTTATATGGTAAGGCGGGAGGTGGAGAAGATGCAGAGGAGGAGACTGCCAGTGTCTGGACCTCAGTGGGTGCATCTACGTGAGATGCTCCTATGCAGTAGCAACGAGCTACTGCGCAGTATCTTGTTGCTGTTGCGCGGTAGTGCCAGTGGGCTTTAACAATGATGCAACGCTACTGCGCAGTAATGAGCTACTGCAGAGTAGCTTGTTGCTAAAGTGCAGTACCATCTGAAAAAGCTGTGTGGTGACAGTACTGCACAGTAACACCAGTTACTGCACAGTCCACTGCTCGTGTAGTTGCAGCCAGTGAGTATTGGCTCCATGTGGAAGATTCTCAAAGGCAGTAGCTATGAGGTTAGGAGGACCAAACACCATCAATCTACCCAGCTACTTTGTAGGACAGCAGTGCTGAAAATGGTAGAATCAGGTGCCGCTGGGAAGCTATCGATAAAGACAATGCTATGGACAAAAGAGGGGTAAGGGGAGTATGGAGGAAGAAGCACTGTTATGGGAAATGTGTGAGACAGTTGCCTAAAGAGGAAAAATGGACATTTTCAGAAAGCCTGTTTGTCCTTAGGGGTCGAATTCATACCCCAGGTATCTGTCACCAGGACACTGGCTAATTTCTTAGAAATGTGTGAGTGGGGTAGTTTGTTAGGGGTTGCTGAGCCACAAAGGAGGCAGGATTCCTGGGTGAAGCAAGTGCAGTGCCACCCATTTCTCTTCTGCATCACTTCCCTTCTCCGTGTGACCAAGCCCTTAATTTTCCAGTGTTGAACCCTTCTTCCAGATTGTGAACCAGCCTGAGCGTGCCAGGCTGTACTTGGGAGGCTTGGCAGTGGATGGTGGGGGGAGGAACGGGGATGGAAGTGACTGCATGCCAGAACTAGCAGCCAAGAGTTGGGGTGGGAAGGTGAATGGGCCCCAAAGGGAGGACATAAGGAGTTTATCTGGTCCTGGTTGAAAAGGGCCAGAGAGTTGAGATGCTCTTGAATCTGTGCAGATGAAAAAGCAGCACCTACAGCAGTAGTGGGAGAGGCAGTGCCAATGTATACTAGATAATTAGTGTGTCTATCCTGCTTCTCTTAATGCAGAGTCCTTTAGCATTCTAAGGGTTAATATGGGCCCAAAGAAAGGATGGCTTTTGTTTCAGAAGAAGGTGTACCTGCTTGGAAACAGTCGGGAAATCCAGAATATTTTGTATAGTTTGCCTATTCCTTTTTCAGTGTTATGGGGAGATGATTGGCATATGTTCCTGCTACCGTCCCTGCTAGAACTGGTTTAAATCCGAGTATTATCTGGGTTACCTTCACACAGGCTGTTGTAAGACCAAGACTGGGGCACCAAATATTATATCAGCACAGTGCCTGCAACATGATTTCCAGGAACATTTGTGTTGGTTTGTGTTTGCTGCTGATCTACGCAATGAGTTTCGTTTTCAACTCCAGTATAAGATCTGAATAGTGATCTCACTGCCACTGCTTTGTTTTAGATTTCCATTCTGGTGCAGTTTCTAATTGAAAATTGCTGCAGGATTTTTGGAGAGGAAGTGACCTCCCTCTTTGGGGACATGCTGATAAGATGCGACAACAGGGAAGATGGCTCAGGTAAACCATTGTGTTGTCTATGATAGATAGCTCAACCCAACCGGTCAGCAAAGCAGGGAGATCTTAAGGAAGGCTGTTTTTCTCCGTTCAGGCATACACATTTGTATGAACTCTTCTCCATTTCTCCCATGGATAGTGATTCTTATCTGATAAATAGGAATCCCATGATAAATTTAAGCATACAACTCAGACCATACCATTCTCACCTTTATCAGGAATTCATTGGTCCTAACCTTACAATTTCCTGAAATAGTACCACATTTAGGGGTTTGTTGTTGCTGTTCCTGAAGAATCACTGAAATAGTACTTTTGTCGAAATTTTGAAAATGAGTTGTGAATTGGCTATTGCTCCTGCTGCAATAACACATTCTTACACCATTGCACCAGAGTGAATGAGTTCTGCCTAAAAGCAAAGCTTACCCACAGTCTTCACTTAGCGTAGCTGTGGTAACCAGAATTAGAAGTGGCATAGGCTACTTTTCTGAAGGTTTGTGGTGTGTCTGGAACACAAGTGTGTTCCAGTTTGTGATCCAAAAAGGTGGTCACTGTTAAGAAATATGCCCCTCAACTGTGGCATTTTTGCACCAAAAGGATATTTTCTTCATGTTTGAGACACTCAAATTCAGGATTGTATACTGCCTATGTTTAAAGTCAGATATCCTACCATTTCAGGATTGGAAACAACTGTTCAGAGGTGGGTAGCTCCCCTGGTTTCCAATATGACTTGCAAATTTTTGCTTCTAGGAAAGACGTGAAATTTGGGCATTAAAGTGGTTTCTGAAAGTGTTGTTAATTACGCCTTCTCAAGCCCCATACTCATAGTAAAGCAACATTTCAGTAAAGACGGTTAGAGACGCATAACCACAATACCAGTTTTAAGGCCCTTATTTAAAAAAAAAAAATTCTGAGCAGCATTTCTGTAAGAATAAAAGCTGCATGTACTGCGTGCAGTATGCGCAACAGCCTCACCTGAATGTTTTATTGGCATTTTGCATGAGCTACACAACTGGCTGTGCTATGCATAGGGATTGTAGCTGTCCCAGATCCCACATGTGGTTCTCTCTGGTATATTGTGACTAAATTCTTTCTTCAGTTATGCCAAGGCAAGCACATCTGGCTGCAGTCTACTTTTTAACCTGCAGCTGAGATGAGACCTTGCCTTACAATATATCCAGTAAAAAAAATCTCACTTCTGCATCAAAATGTTAAAGGTCTGCTCAAGCCAAACACAGTCCATCAGGCTAGTGTACCCACAGCACACCCGTTTCTGTAGCCAGCTGCATACAAGTGATACAGCCTATGTCACACCCTGCCACCTTTATCTCCTCAGATTGAGCAATCAGGTACCTATTTAAAGTTGAATCAACTGGAGGCTGCCTTCAGCACAAGTCCAAAGCAGGTCTCCTACTCATGAGTCCTAGCAAGGCATGTTAATGTGACCTGCCTTTTTATGTATCTAAAAAAAAAAATGGACAGAACATTCATAATATTACTTAGAGATGTGGTTGTCTAATAATGTATTATTTATCATTGGATTACATTTGCACTAGTCCATACACTAATGTAAAATCACTGCTGACACGGCATTTACCCACATGGTTAAGTGCTTTGTTGACTTGGGGCATAACAGGAGTCATTTCTATTATTCCATTTTAAAATTGGGAGAATTCTTCTGAGACTATCCTTTGTCCAAGTGTCTTATCTAAAAAGTCTCTACAGGGCAAGTGGTTACTGAAGGAAAAGAGTATGTCTGAAGCCAATGAAACTGTTTGTCATCAGCATTGTTTAATCATAGATATCTTAATGTTTATTTAATCTTCTTACAGATCTCTCTTCCTTTCATCTGAATGATTCTTCATATGACAGTTTGGAAAATGAGCTGAATGATGATGCTGACTCTTCATTTAGTGACTTGATCAAAAAAGGAGGTCAGGATAACAGGAGCAGGGACTCTGTCTTGACTCTAAGTGATTGTGACTTGGACCAGCCAGAAATTGAAGAGGTTCAAATTAAGCTTCCACCCAAGTCAAAGCCTGTAAGAATTTCTGCTGGTTTACACCACAAATCTTCATCGAAGGATCGCTCTGAAAATGAGCCTCTTTGTTCTGATACGCTGGGCTATTCTTCAGCTGCCCCAGATGCTCTTAAAAACTCAAGAAGGCACAGACGCTGCTCAGAGCCATCCATTGGACTTCCCACCTCTAAGTTAACCCATCTCAGTGAGTGTCAGGATAACACAGTGCGTAAAGCCAGCTGTGATGCTGTCTTATCTCATGTAGATGAAGACTATCTCAAGCAGCTTCGTTCATTGCAGATGGAAGGGCAAAAGCTTATTAATCAGAGTTTGGTAATGGGAATTGATGTTGGCCGGAGTAGCACGCGAAACCAAACGGGTGAAAAGAAAGACTTAGCCAATCACCTCCTGCCACCAACCCCACTGAGATTAAACATTTGCTCAAGAACTAGCTGTTCTAGTTTATCTTCTCCTGGAACATCTCCCTCTGGGTCCTCAATGAGCTCTTTGGACAGCGCTTTCTCCCAGTTTTCAGACTATTCAGTTTTTACCCCAACCGAGACCTCCTCTCCTTTGGACTGTGGATTTCAGTTTCAAAAGAAACCTGGAGACCTATCTCCTGAATGCAACCCTTTCTGTGGTATACACCAAGGTGCTGGAGTCAGCTCTTTTTCTAGCCAGGCCAGCAACAGCAGCTCAGTTTGTGTTAAAAAAGGAAGTCTTGAGTGGCCTCCTCAAAAGAGTCCCGTTACTCTGCATCCCAGCACTTGGTTAAAAAATGGGGCTTCCACAGTGAAAAACTGGACTCTCCGAAAAAAGGACAAAGCATCTAAGCAAGAAGAAAAGAAGAAGACAATTATCAAAATCACTTTGGAACCACATGTGGACCCTTCAGATCCATTAGAAGATAATCTATGTCAAGAACAATGGCAGGTACTGAAAGCACATGTATCAATGGAAAAAAATACTGCCACAGAAACCGTACAGGATGACAATCCTTCCTCCACTCCTGGAAGTGGGCAGCCATCCAGTGCTCCATTTTGCCCCACAGAGGTAAAAGACAAGAAACTTAAAGCCTTGGAGCTGCTAGCTGAACAAAGTAAGGAGGAGGAAGAAGCAGAGAAAGAAAACTCTCAGCTTTTGTCACATAAAAGACAGCCATCCAACCCAGTCATCAGGTGCCCAAATCCAAGTGCTGAAGATGCTCCTGAATCGGGTGCTGGACATGAACTTTTCATCAAGGACAGTTTAAGTAAGACTGCAATGTCCATGGAGGTAGATGGCCAACAAATAAACTCTGAGAGCAATAAAGCTTTGCTAAGCACTGAATCGAAATCTATTGAGGATGAGTCTGAAAGGGGTTTCTGTTTGTCTCTAAAAGCCACAAGGGCAGTTGATGGATGTTTGTTTAAACCAGATGTTGATAAATCTCATCAGAAAGTAGAGGCAGGGACTGACACCATGATCCAAATTAACAAGGAAAGGCTAAAAAGGCATTGCAGTGATCCCAAGTTTGAAGAGATTGACCAAAGGATTTTTGCAGAAGAATCTTATGTTTAAAATCACTACCATAAACACAACTGCCTTTGGAATTACTCTCTGATCAGCCTAGGTTTCATATTCCAAGAGGATAAATTTCACTGGGGAGTTATAGGATTCATATTGTCATCATGAACATTAAGAGAGTCACTTCCCCACATAATTTTTAATTAAAAATTGCTGTCCTAGAATCCGGAAGCGCTTGGTTCCAAAACAGTGACAAGTGAAGTAGAGTGTTTTGTCAAGAGGGGAAACTCTATATCCTTCCTGTATTAAGCGTTGTGGATATAAGTCTGTGTCCTCTGTGGTTTTGATGTAGTAGGTGAGGCCACCATAGATGCCATACCTGTGGTATTAATACTACTGTTTTTAAACTATGATGGTTATTACTTTCATTGTCCTCCAAGAAAGAAATGTAGTACTTTTTTATTGGTTTACAAGGTAGCTCATTAGTTCCCAGCACCTCTTTCTCTTAGCATATGAAAAAAACAACATATGCTCAAAAAGAAGGAAAGCTAAATACTGAAGCTTATATAAGTCCCAAACTCTCTGTATTTCATTTATTGTGCTCCATTGGGTGTTCTGTTCATGTTTAAGTTGTGAATAGTTTATTAATTTTGCTGTAAAATGGCATTATATATTATTGCAAGCAGAACCTATGTAATTTTATTATGCGCTATCTAAATCATCTTATAATATATTAAAAGTAATGCATTATCTAAAATGCTTTGAGTTTGTATAATATATCTTGATAAATTTTGCTATTATATATGTTCTGAAATAAATGTGTATTTTTGTACTTGCAGAAATTGCTGCTAACTTTACAAGTTTTGTTTTTGTTGTTACGGCACTGGTATTGACGTGTATGCATTCAATGCTGTATACTAAATAAAATTCATTCCATCATTAAGTTAACAAAAATGAGGTTTCAAGTAACTCTTCAGTTTGTTAATTTTGAACTTGTGTATATTTACCATTGATGGGTTGTGAAGTTTAATGACACCTCTTAAAATTATAACTTTTCTTTCTCTAGGTTGTGATGCTGACGTCCTACTGAAAACCTTTTTTAAAATTGGCTCTTTATGAAGAAACAATAGGCTTTCAGTTTGGTAAATAAATCTTGCTGCAAGATAAACACAGTGCAATAGTTCTTTAGGTGTCAGTTTTGTATGTTTTTTCTGGAGAAAAAAGTCCCTGAGATCTCAAGGGGAATTTTGCATGAGAATGGTCAGTAGAATTTGGCTTTTATGTCATTCATATTAATTAGAAAAATGTCTAAAATAAATTGGATGAAATTTAGTAAGTTCAAGTGCAATGTGCCATGCTTAAGATGGAACAATCTAACATGCAAATACAAAAAGAGAATGACTGGCTCGGTTGCAGTCTGTATCTGGAGCTTAAAATGGACCCATACTGAATATGAATCAGTGGTGTAATGTTGTTCCTAAACAGACTTAACTACTGGGATGTACTAACAGAAGTGTCCTGCTCAAGGCACATGAAGCAATTCTTCCACTCTGTCCTGTACAGCTTTTTTCACCAGGGTACTATGTCCAGTTTTGCTGCTGCTCAAGAGATGTGGGCAGAGTCCAAAGGAGACCAACAAAAATTGTCACGTCATATGAGGAAAGATTGGAAGAACTGGGATCATCTAGTTTGCAGAAGAGACAACTGAAGGGGGAATTTGATAAGTCTTTAAATACAGAAAGAGTTGTTATAAAGAGAATAGTGATCAGTTGTTCCCCATGTCCATATGAACAAGATGAGAAGTAAGGGACTTAAATTGTGGGGCTGTGCAAAGTTTTGGTCTGCGATTCAATTCAGAGAAGATTTGGCCCAATTCAGAGGCTGAATCTCCGAATCCCAATCAAATTGGGAGAAGACAAAAAACCTCCAAATCAGTTTGAAAGCTCCAAATGGATTCAGAAAAGATTCAGAGATTCAGAAGGCAGTCTTTCAGGGGAAGAGAAACTGAGAAGAGGCAGGGAAAGACTGACATCTCTAGCTGGCCAGTGACTGTGATCTTTCCCTGAGTCCCCTTCCAATCACAGTGCTTGGGGGGAGGGATGTAGAAACAGCATATAAGCCTCTGTCTGCAGCCTTTCTGTCCCTTTTGCGAGCTGTTTCTGCCTGAGCAACAGTGTCTGAAAAGTACTGGACTGGCTTGGCTTCCTACCTTGTCAGTCTCCTGCTACTTTTTGTTCTTGGGAAGGATTGGATGAAGCTTACTAACTAGAATCCCTCTACTTATCCCTATCCAATCCATTTCTTTCAATTTATATTTGTTCTTGATTTTTTTCCCCAACACTTTAGAAAGACAGCTGTGTTTTCCCTGGCAGTGTTATCCATCACTGTAGGAAAGCAAATACATTACAAACTCACACACACACATCATACAAGAAGTCAGATTTTATAACAGAGAAGAAGCCAGACATTTATAGAAGAAGAAGAGGAGATGATATATAGTTATCAATATTATTAGTTATAGTTACAATCAGACTACAGACAATATGGAAGTCAGATAGAGATTCAGATTAACAAAGCACAGAAGTCAGAGTCGAAGAACAGATTATTTTAGTTACACAACAGTCAACACAGCACAGAAGTTGAACACAGTCATACATCAGAGAAGAAGACATATCTTATTAGTTAGTTATACACAAAGACACATTTTCCAGCACAGGAAAGATTATTATGAAGTGTGCTGGAAAGGCAGGTGCCAGGTCTTCTGGCGGGGGAGGTAGACGGGGTAGGGGGAGAGCTCGAGCTACAAATCCTCCTCCCCCCACCCCCCCACATAGATACTTCCTCTTTCCTGGCAACCATGAGTCTTCTGCTGCCAGTGGAAGCAAGGAGGTGGAAGCAGTACCTGTCCTTGCACCTGAACCTGCACCACCTTTCCAAACTCCAGAAATAGGCACCAACAGCCAAAATGAGTGTCTCCTCCACCCCAATTTCATCTCCCAGCATGAGCCTCCCACTACCAGAGGAGGAACTAGAGCTGGAACTATGGGACTTGAGTGCCCTAGCTAAATAAATTTCCCCTTGGTCCCTAGAATTTGAGTTTGTGCTCCACACCCTTCAAAGTTCCTGTAGACCCAGGTCTCCTTGTCAGGAAGGCACCTCAGAGGAGGTAGTGGAGGCAAGTGGCTCAGCTGAGTCAGCATACTCAGGATCATCTGCTACCTCAAAATGATCCCACACTACACTACTTCCCTGCTTCTGGGTTGAGGATAGAAATCCTGCCTTATCCCCTTCCTCAGTAGGCAGAGGCACAACAAGAGAAGCTATCTGCCAGCACTGCCGAAGGCAGATCAGCTGGGGCAAGGAGGTGAAACACTTCACCACCACAGCAGTGCTGCTGCATCTGAGGAGACCGCACTCCCTTGCCCTTCTTCCTCCTCAGCCTAGCACCAGTGGGTGTGTGCCCAAAGGGAAGTCCCCAGCTTGCTCCAAAGCCCCTGTCTCCCCAAAGCAAAGGCAGGCCACCCTGGAGTGGTAGGAGAAAGCTGCAGACAAAGTGGGGCACATTGCAAGAGCGAGTGAGATCACCCAGAGCATTGGGGAAGATGCTTGCTCTGGATGGCCTGCCTTTCTCCTTAGTTGAGCAGCCAGGGTTCAGATGGCTCATGGCACTCATAGCCCCATCTTACCAAGTGCCCGCACATACCACCTTTAGCAAGATGGTGGTACCCTCCCTATATGAGGAATGCAGGGTGTACTTGGGGGAGCTGCGCAAGGCAGGGCCGCAGGTAGCCTTGCACTTCACCTCCGATATCTGGAGCAGCCAGAGTGGAGAATCATGCCTACCTCTCTCTCACAGGGCACTGATGCAATCAATCAGGCCGTTGGTGGGCTCTCCTTCAAGCCAAGGTGATGGATGAGTTCCACACGGCAAGGGAGATCAAGGTGGCCATGAACCGCATGGTATAGGGGTGGCTCATTGGGCAGGGTGAGATCACCCGCAGGTTCATTATCACCGACAATGGGGCCAATATGGTCAAGGTCGTCTGCTGTGTGGTACACAAGCTGCACCTCATAGGGATGCTTTGGAGGGCAGCATAGCTGCTGGTGATGGTGCCATCACCACCAACCAGCTGATTTCAAAATGCAGGAAGGTGGTGGGCTACTTCCACCACAGCATCAAAGGGGGCAAGATGCTATGGGAGAAACAGGCAGAGCTAAGCATCCCACCGCACAAAATCATGCAGGATGTGGAAACTCAGTGGAATTCCACATACCTGATGCTGGAAGGGCTGGTGGAGCAACACAAGGCCATCCATGAGATGGCTTTGCTCAGGGAGATTGGGAACAGTGGTCCGCTTAAAAGAGCTGAGTGGGATACCATCACCCAGATCTTGGTGGTCCTCAAGCCCTTCCTCAAGGCTACTGAGACCCTCAGTGGTGGCAATGCCCTCCTTACCCAGGTGATTCCCCACAGGGAGGGAACTTGAGAACGAAATGGAGAGGTTCCAGGGGATCAATGTTCCTGACTGTGGCAAGCCGCTGTCACCAGGCGCCGCACTTCAGGAGGGATGTGGATAGCATCAAGAGGGTCCAGAGGAGGGCCACTTACATGATCAGGGGGCAACAGGGTAGGCCCTATGAGCAGAGGCTACAGGATCTGAACCTGTTCAGCCTACACAAAAGAAGGCTGAGAGGGGATCTGGTGGCCATCTACAAACTTGCCAAGGGGGACCAGCAGACAATGGGAGGGTCCCTGTTCCCCTGAGCACTACCAGGAGTTACGAGGAATAACGGCCATAAGCTGACTGAGAGTATATTCAGGCTAGACGTCAGGAGGCACTGCTTCACTGTCAGGGCGGCTAGGATCTGGAACCAACTTCCTAGGGAAGCAGTGCTCACCCCTACCCTGGGTGGCTAAACAGAAGGAGGCTAAACATTCACCTAGCCGGGGTCGTTTGACCCCAGTATCCCTTCCTGCCCATGGCAGGGGGTCGGACTTGATGATGTGCTTAGGTCCCTTCTGACCCTACCACCTATGAAACTATGAAACAGACATGCACGCACTGGTGAGGTGGCTGAAGGAGGAGATGGCTGGATCCCTTGTGGTCCAGTACAGTCCATATGCTGGTGGGTATGTGCGACCTGAGGGTGAAGGGGAACATGTGCACTGGCAGCATCAAAACCTCGATCACTGGACACAGGTGCTAGTCAACAGAGTCACGGAGACAGAAGGGCAGAGGCAAGGGGATGTGGAAGACAGGGATCCACTTTCCCATTACAGTACTCCCAGCACCAGCCAGTCTTTTCCACGCCAGCTGCTGCCAATGTGGGCCAAGGGCATGGCTTCAGTGTTGGTGTCCAGATGCATCAGACCCCAGTCTCAGGTAGGTAGTGCCGAGGCTTCAGTGGCTACCTATTTTGCCAAGGACATGGTGCTGCTGGACAGCGACCCCCTGGCCTACTGAGCAAGCTGCAGCCAGATGTGGCAGGATTTGGCCATGGTTGCCTGGGAACACCTGTCCTGTCCACCATCCAGTGTTCTGAGTGAGAGGGTGTTCAGCATTGCTGGGAATGTTATGACACCCCACCACACCTGCTTGGATCCTGGTTTGGTGGAGCAGCTGGTGTTCATGAAGGTGAACCTTCTGCTGCTGGGGTTTCTCAAGCTCCACCTGCAGATGGAGTTAGTGCCACCCTCCTCACTCCATCTACACCTATTTCTGTTTTATTTTTTAAAACCAGTTAATGCACTGCTTGCAGAGCTGGAGGGGGCACTCACTGCATTACCAGCCAGCAGGGGAAGAACATGTCCCTGCTCAGCTTCCATGCCAGGACGACCAACTGCAGATGCTTCCTCAGCCTGATGAACGGTTTTTCAACCTGAAAGCTTGCTACGATCTATTTAACTATTCAGTTAGTCTACTAAAAGATACCAGATTGACCCAAAGGACCTTGGCTGCTTACCTGTTGTTATTTAAAGTGGTGGACCGGAATGAGGCTGTAGGGGAGGAGGAGACTTCATTGGGTCTCACTACTGTGTCGTGTAGAAGCCCCAGTGCCAGTGAAGGCGCACCT